GTACGTGATACGAGGCCAAGCATGATGTTTGTCCCTAGCCTTAATAAAGAACTCGTATGTCCTGAACTGGCTACCTGCAAATGAGACAAATAATCGTCGTCTAGTGTAATGTAAACGTAATAAAACTTTTGACCTGCTTGTCAAACTACTGTGCTTGGTTGACGGGAAATGACTTCGGCAAAGGAACTGATTGATAACTGCAAACCTGATCACTTTCTGTGCCATACCGGCACCTTCAGTTCTTAAGAGTACTTTATACCTAACTTCTCCAACTTTGGATTATGCTCTTTTCACTATCCTATAATGTTCATATGGTCTGGAGGGAAGTGGTTAAAGCGTTGGCTCGTCAAGACCCGGGTTCGAATCCCCACATGGGTACAATGAGTAAAGCCCATTTCTGGTGTCTCCCGCCGTGAAATTGTTGGAATATTGCTAAAAGGCAGCGTTAAACCAAACTCAGTCAGTCATATGGTCTCGAAACAACAGAACAACAAGATGATCATTTGGATTTCAAATGGTATCAATGGAGAAGATAAAAAGGCATGAACAACTGGATATGAACCATTGTCCAGGATTTCAAAATGAAGCGTTCTCTTAGGGTCGTTGTTGGGAGTAACTTTCACTTCCGACAGTAACAATTATTGGTTTCTCTGGTCGAGAATCAATTATCTAGGTGTGACACCGTCCTACAACTGGAACAAACAATGACTGCTGAATTGAACAACAAACAGACTTTACTTTACGTTTGTGTCCTTTGAGTTGTATTTGTAGGCTTTGCTGTCTCCAGCGACTGACCAAAAATTATCTTTGCGGACGATGCAATTATCAGACTTAACTCCAGATATTGTGACTGGGTGCTTCAGGTCACTTCCATCTGAACCATCGGCTCCAGACAAGCACGATTTCCTTCGTTACCTTAATAACACACGAGAAATATGTATATATATATTATTATAAGATACGTAATGAAATTTTGTCAGAAATAACCGAATGCTCGATATACAGCATCTTTATTAATTTCTTGATATGATTTGTCGTTAAAGTACTGGTGTTCATGAATTCATCTTTTAGTAAAGGTATCTGCATGTAAATATAGGATCTACATTGTTTAAACTTTTATTGTGTCCCAGAGATTGAATATTTACACCTGGACAGATAGGGTTCTAAAACTCACAAATCGTGGAGCTATGGGTTCTCTGTTGTTCAAAGGCATATTTCCTACTTTATGACGGGTTTATGTAAACAATCGAGTCGGGACCAGACCATCCAGTGATTGGCATTATGAGGATGTATTAACCAAGTCAGCAGCCATGACCACCCGATCCCGTTAGTCGCCTCTTAAGGCAAGCATGGGTTGCAGAAGATCAGTTCTTACCCTGATCTTCACAGGTAGGACATATGTATTGTGATATCCATTCAATGACGAAATACTAGATTAGCATCTTCATTGTGCAGACTTCAAAACGTCAGGCATGGTGTAATGTAAATCTATGTTCTTATTTTGAATACAAGCAATTCCATGGATCGATGCTCATGGATTGTCTGAGCAAGCCGTAGTTATTTACAGACCACTGAAATATACCCCGAATATTGCTGACACAGCATTCAACAAGAAACAAGCTGAATAACAGAAGAGTTTACATTAATATTTTGTCACACTACACTTACCAACATACACAGCCCACTGACTGTACGCTCCTCGCTTAAATTCCAACATGTCACCTAGTTCCAAGTTGTCAAGTACTGTCTGGTTGTGCCTCTGTAGTTCAAGGGACGCCATTTGTATTACTCTTTATCTATTCCTTTTCGTGAACCGTGTCTCCAGTTACTTATTTTTCTGAAACGCCAAGAAAAAGTGCAGAATATTATTCTTCACACACTAGCATGCAAACACAACGTTATAATCGAGGGGCCACACAATCAATCATTAGAAGATGAACTTGCCCATTGCCATAAAAGAGACATTACAAGGTCAAATCACAAAAAAGGCGAAAACGCAACTAATTTCAGTATAAATATTGCTAATATCACATAAATACCCAGCTTGACTTTGTCAGTTTCAACATATTTCCTTTGCCTTACACCCATACAGTCTGGTTCCATTTCCAAACGCTGATGTTTAAGTGAAGGTAAATGAAAATACATTTCTATGTAGCAGAACCAGTCATCATCACGTTAGGCACACCATGCATAACATTTACTGAGTGAGTGAGTGAGTTCAGTTTTACGCCGCACTCAGCGATATTCCAACTATATGGCGGAGGTCTGTAAATAATAGTCTGGACCAGACAATCGAATGTGATGAATGTATCAACATCGATCTGCGCAATTGGGAACCGATGACATATGTCAACCAAGTCAGCGAGCCTGACCACCCGATCCCGTTAGTCGCCCAGTAACAAGGACGGGTTACTGAAGTCACATTCTAACCCGGACCTTCACAGGTAACGTTTACTGAGGGACATACACTATAGGTATTACCTTACTACGATTCACTGAACAGCTTAATTCTATTAACACTAATGACCACAACGTATGCATGAATACATATGAAAAGATGTATTAGATACATCTGTGCCGAGACCATTTATCTGTATAAATACACCACGACTGAGAATAAAGTTATGAACCTTTTGATAAGAAGGGTCGAGTTTCTCACGGTGTCTTGACACTTGTAAGTAACAGTCATCGAAGCAGTGATTTCCTATTGTATGATTTCCCGGATATATTACTCAATGTACGTGAACTTGTGAACTAGCATGCTTGCACCCGGAATATTTATGACGTGAATCTCTTTTTGTACATGTTGTCACTCGAGCATGTCTTATCAAGTCTAAACTGAAAGTGAAAGACATTGTGTTTGCATTGGTCTATTGTCACAATAGTGTGTGTAGCCCGTATTGAAAACAGCTGAACTGTGTTCGAATATTCTGTTAAACAAACAATGTTTGAACTGTATCATACATTCTTCTGTATTTTTGATTAAGCGAGTGAGTTTAATTTTACGCCGCTTTGATATTTTCCATCAATATCACGGCGGGGTACCATTATCAAAACTTGTGGATTGATCAAACCAGCCTGCGACCCCTGTTTTTTGAAGGCTTACATTTAGGGCTGCATCGATTCACCCAGCCCTCGATTCGATTTTCGATATTGGGCCATCGATTCGATCATTTTCGATTCGATTCTCCATACAAGTAAAAACATCCGATTTCTTTGGACTCTCAGAGTTCAAGTGAGTCTGCTTGTTTAGCGTGAAATCCATCGTCAACTTGGCGATGTCTATTAACAATTCTCCAAAACAATTAGTCCGGCGTCAACCAATCACGTTTCGCCTTATTACAGCGCTCGAATCTGCTTGAGTTAGAATAAAAAAATACGTTCTGACTGTGTGGAAATAATTTTGATACGTATTCAAATATCGAATCAAATCGAAATAGTAATAATTGTTATCGAAAATAGAAACTAAAGTGTCAGATTCGATTTTCGATGAACCGAACCGAATCGTTGCAATCACACTTACATTCCACATTAACACAGATGTCATCGTTTCCCAATTGCGTAGATCGATGCTCATGCTGTTGATAACCGGATTGTCTGGTCCTGATAATTTACAGACCGTCGCCATACAGCTGGAATATTGCTGAGTGCGGTGCTAAATAACAAACACCTCTTATTACACAGTGAGAATTCTCAAATCAATATTAAAGTCACTCACAACCCATTTGCAGCAGTTGTGGTGTTGATAATGTTATCTGTCTCCCTGAGATGTGCCGATCTTTGTTATATTTCCCACGGCCCCACGACAAGATGGGGAATCCCCGTGGTTTTGCCCAACTAAGGCTAAAAAATAGACACACCGCGTCCACACCTGAGAATTACGAGGTAGCCACAATATTCATTCGGTGTCATAAGCGATATCCTACACAAAATTATAAAACATTATTACACACGTGTTTTGAATATCGTTTTGAGATAATTGTCGTTATTTGAAGCAATTGTTGTGTAACCAGTTGAAAGCTATCCAATAATGCCGGAACCTTTTATTGCCACCTCAATATTTTAACTTATAACTCCATTCGAACAGTTTTACCAAAACTTTTAACCAAACGAAGCATTAGAGTTGTTCTGGGGATTTATAATGTGTGTTTTTTTCAGGTGAATATGCTTACTTGTTTATTTCCATCAAAAAAGTAGTCGTGACAGAGTTATCTCCCTTTCGCTTTGTTCACATCCATCGTCAGCTGGATTTGTCATAACGGATCACGCTGTTTTTCCGTCCTGAGTGTAATAAATGTAGCATATTGATCTAATAATGACCTAATATTGATCTAATAATTGGTCTACCTAATAATTGTCGCCAATATGCTACAATATATAGATCACAAAACTCGTGGATGTGTAATATGAAAATATTCCAACGAGATATTATTAAAGGTTTTAATTTATTCACAAGCGAAAGCGACACGCTGTTAACAATATCTCATTGGAATATTTTCCATATTCAACACCCACTCGTTTTCTAATCTATATGTACACCCACATTTTTGGTAGTAATTAGTTTATTGTGCCATACACACAACATTGACATGAAGACTGAGCATGATGAGTGAGTGAGTGAGTTTAATTTTACGCCGCTTTTAGCAATATTCCAGCAATATCATAGCAAGGTACACCTGAAATGGGCTTCACACACTGAAACCCATGTGGGAAATCGAACCCGGGTCTTCGGCGCACAAGGCAACCCCACAGTCCTGTGACCGACGTGAAAAGACGCCAGTGAAAGAGGCGAATAACGAGATAAGGTGGTCAGGTTCGCTGACTTGGTTGGCACATGTCATCGTATCCCAATTACGAAGATCGATGCTCATATTTTTTATCTCTCGATAGTCTGGTCCAGACTTGATGATTTACATACAGCTGCATATATTGCTGAGTGCCCAGTTAAACAACATCAACCAAACAAACAACTGTTATTTAACATGAATAACAGCTAATAATTTGTATATATAGTGATTTTTATTTGTTGTCTGTTTCTTTGCTGTTTAACACTGATTAATATAAACAGCTCGATTCAATCGGTCTGTCAAAAAATTGAGTCTGGATCAGACAATCCAGTGACCGATATCATGAGAATTGATCTGTGCAAATGAAATACAGTATAAATAAAGACATATAGCATAAGCAATCGATGATGTTTGTCGCCTCTTATGACAAACTTTGTTTTCTGAATACCAATTCTTGATCTTCACGAGTTGTTCTGGTAGTGACAGATACCAGATAATCCAGTGATCAACATCATGAGCATCAGTCTACGCAATTGGGATACGATGGCATGTGTCCACATCACATCCGGAGTGCAGCGTTAAACAACAAACGAACAGTGACAAATGAAATAACAAAATAAGAGTATCCTTGTATTAATCCTTTAACATCAAACTGAACTTTTACATCTAAGTAAAATTGTTTCAACAGCATTATGATCTGTGTCTGAATGATCAATAGCACATTTTCCCAGGTACATAAATGATACATATATATATATATATATATATATATATATATATATATATATAAAGCAAATATTGCGCCCTCAACTGATGAAGCCAGAAATTACTTGTTTTGAACATGGTGATGACAGTAGTCACGGAATTGCTGATATGGAATCCTTCGAAAGGCTGAATGAACAGGAGCATGACTCAGGCATGAATATTAGGCTTGTCACGGAATGGTACGAATTGGTGAGGAATGTTGTGGAATGCAGCAAACCTCTCTGTTGTCAGATATGGTGCATTCGTCTGATCAATCCATGATCGATGTATTCTGTTTCACTCGCAACTGTGTTATGGTGGAAATTGATGACATCAATATTCTGACTTCTTTTCTCTTTCTTTCTTTCCATCACTTCCAAGCCAGACAGCCAATCCCACCACCGCAGCGGCCCCACCAACCGCTAGTGCAGTGAACAGACCATCAGCCTAAAAGAAACGAAAATAGTGATGTGTGATTTACTTTCTACAGCAACAATGCGTAGCCAAAACTTCGGACAAAACTACTTTAATCCTACGGTTTTGCAAGAAGAAACAATATCAAATATTTCTAAACATGCTAGTAATGTGTTACGTGGTCTTACGAGTAATTGCTTATCCCATTCTTCTAATGATGAGTGAATGAATTTTACGCCGCTTTTAGCAATATCACAGCAATATCACAGCAATGGACACCAGAAATGGGCTTCACACATTTTACCCATGTGAGGAATCAATCCCGGGGATTCAGTGTGATAAGCGAATGTGGCGTCCACTAGGCTACCCCACATCCCTCTTAATGGAGAACTTGTACGTCCTGAGTAAGATGTGTAGGTTCTACACCTCAACAATGACTTTAGAGTGAGTGAGTGAATTAAAATTTAAAGCCACATCGGCAATATTTCAGCCATATCGTGACTAAAACTAGGTCTAAATTCATAATACATACATATAATATCTAAAACTCTGTCAACGAAGGACAGTAAAATTACTAGTTTATCACAAAATGAATTAAAACTAGCTAGTATATATCTTTAAAATCTGAAACTAATTTTGGACAATACAATGTGAAAATGGGCTATAGATTGCCAACAACTGAAGGTCTATCCCCATACTAGGGACAATGGGGACACACTGACTTTAGATGTCCCTTCGCAACGATACATTCCAGAATTGGCTACTAGTAAATACATCGTTTGTATATTTGACTAGTGGCAAGATAAATAGTTGTCTGAGCAGATCTAAACGCAATTCAACGTAATACAACGACAAACAAACCTGGCAAAGGAACGGTTGGACAAAACTAATACAAACCTGATCACTTTCTTCTTTGTCATACCGGCACCATGAAGCGAAGTGTTCACAGTTCTTAAAAAGTATGTTATATCCAACTTCTCCAAGTTTGGATCATGCTCTTTGTACTGTCTTAGATGGTTCCAAGTGTCTGGAAACAATAGAACAACAATATGATCATTTGGAATTCAATTCCTTGGCATTATTGGAGACGATGGAGAGACATCCAAAAAAATGGATATAAACCATTGTTCAGGATTTCAAAATGAACCGTTCTTCTAGGGTTGGTACTGGGGGTATCGTTCATTTCCGACAATATCAATCACTGGTTTGTCTGATCCAGAACTAAATATATACATGTCACGCCATCTTACAAGTGGAAATTAAATTAGTTCCGCATTGAACAAACAAAACTTACTTTAATTTCTTGTCCTTTGAGTTGTTTTTGTACACTTTGCTGTCTCCAACAACTTTCCAAAACGCATCTTTGCGAATAATTCCTTTATCAAACTCTACTCCACTTATTGTGCATGAGTGATTCAGGTCACTTCCCATTGGACCATCGACTCCAGACAAGTGCACGACTTCCTTGTTACCTAAAACAGATATGACAAATATGTTAATAATAACTATTACGAGATACCTATGCAATTCTGTCAGAAATAACGGAATGACCGATACACAACCTCTTTATTAACTTTATGATATGATGTTAAAGTACTGGTGTTGAAGAATTCATCTTTCAGAAAAGATATCTTCAGGTTAATATAGAATCTACGCGTTTAAACCTTTAAGCGCCTCCGTAATTGAATATTTTCAACTTGACACATATGGTTCTGAAACGCACAAATCGTGAACATATAGTTTTATTGTTTCTCTGTTGTTTAACGGCATATTTCCTACTTTATGAAGACTTTCTGTAAGCAGTCTAGTCTGGACCAGACCATCCAGTGATTTGCATTATGAGGATGTACTAAGTAAGTCAGCAGGCATGAACACCCCACCCCGTTAGTCGCCTCATAGGGCAAGCATGGGTTGCTGAAGACCAATTCTAACCCGGATCTTCATGGGTAGTTGGTGACACAACATTTAACAAGAGTGAGTGAGTGAGTTTAGTTTTACGCCGCACTCAGCAATATTCCAGCTATATGGCGGCGATCTGTAAATAATCGACTCTGGACCAGACAATCTAATGATCAACAGCATGAGCATCGATCTGCGCAATTAGGAAACGATGACATGTGTCAACCAAGTCTGCGAGCCTGACCATCCACTGATCCCGAACATTCAACAAGAAACAAGCAGGCAAACACAACATCTGCACAGGTAGGACATATGCATTGTGATATCAATGACGGAATACTAGATTCGCATCTTATTGTGCAGATCTCAAAACGTCAAGCATGTTTTACTGCGAATCTGTATACATATTTTGCATGAATACCAACAATTCCATGGATCGATGCTCTTGATTTCAATCACTGGATTGGCTGAGCCAGCCGTGGTTATTTACAGACCATTGTCATATTCCTCGAATATTATTGACACAGTATTCAACATTCAACGAGAGATAAACACAAGATTTTGCATTAATAGTTTGTCACATTACACTTACCGACGTACACAGCCCAGTGATCGTACACTCCTCGCTTAAACTGCAACCTATCACCAGGTTCCAAGTTGTCAAGTACTGTCTGGTTGTGTCTCTGTAGTTCCAGGGACGCCATTTTTATCACTCTTTATTGATACAGTTAGTCTCCAATTATATATTCCTGAAACACCAAGAGAAAATGCAGAATAGTATTTCTTCTCACACAAGCATGCACACACAAAGTCATAATCGAGGAGCCACACAACCTATCACTAGAAGATGAACTTGCCCATTTAGATAAATGGGAGCAATGAAAGTCCCAACACAAAACAAGCAAACACGCAACTGATTTCATAATAAATATTGCTAATATCACATTAATACCAAGTTTGACATCGTCACATTCAAGACATTTCCTCTGCCGTACCACCATACAGTCTTGCTCCATTTCCAAACGCTGATATTTAAGTGAAAGTAAATGAAAATACATTTCTACATGTGACATGTAGTCATCATCACATTAGGCTCATAAAGATTGATAGCACTTTTTCTTTGGATAAAACTAGAACCTACGAAAAATGTTTTATCACTATATACTGCCACGCTGAAGACACGGGTTCGATTCCACACATGGGTACAATGTGTGAAGCTCATTTCTGCTGTCCCCGTCGTGATATTGTTGGAATATCCCTAAACGTGGCATAAAACTAAACTCACTCACTATATATACTACGGACATGAATATAAGCTTGAAAAACCATAAGCATACCATGCATCGCATTTACAGAGGGACACATACTATAGGTATTTCCTTACTATAGTTCACTGAACAGCTTGATTCTATTATCAATAATGCCCACAACGTATGCATGAATACATATATTATTATTATTATTATAGGATATATATATATATAGCGCACATATCAACACACTAGTGCATGGTGAAGGCGCTGTTATTTTTCCCCTCGATCGTTGGATGTCAATCTCAACGGCTCATCGTATTATCCATCTCAACTCCCTGGGGAGTATACAACTGTAAAGGGCCAATTTGTAACCGTTACGGTTGTGTACTGGGCCATACTTCTTTGTCTGTACTGGTCCAGTTCAACGCCAATGTTCGAAATAATACAGTCCCAGTCCCGGAATGCCTTAAATTGGCCTGATTTTCTGACTTTACGGTGCCAGAAATGGCCCACTTACGTGATGTTAGCTGGGATGGTGCACGGGCGCTGCCTACGAGACGAAGTGTCACCTACCACGATGTCGGACCTTTTCATGTGCCGCGCTATCAAGTCGTACTCTTGAACTTGAAGCAACACGCTCCAACGGCTCAAAACGTGACACTAAGTCTTGTAAGTAACAGTCATTGAAGCAGTGGTTCAGGCTCACGACGCCGACCTTTCGACCCAACTTTACGGTTGGGTGCAATCTGAAGGTCGACGTCCTGAGACTAGTTTCACTTTGCCACTTAATAATGGATTACGAGGACAATGCAGGATCAAAGTGTTGTTAGAGGAGGATAATCCGGATTATGCGGATGAGAGCGCACCTAATGAGAATATGACAACAGATGACAGATTTTTATTAGTTGACAGATTTCAGCATTTTTAATAAATACATCGTAAATTCATATAGCATACATTTTTTCAAAGATTTTAACCTAAATGCAATAGGTGGGATGCTAATCAGCAAACTGCCTCACGGACAGTGTTCCTTGTTCAAGCTGGTGACAGATGTTATCCAGTCGTCGCTCCAAATCCCTGTATTTCCTCTTTTTGGAGGGACGCTTCTGGCCAACAGCATACTGGACTAGCTTGTTTTTGGTGTTTGTCTGTTCTCGTGACAAGAAGGACCCAATCTCGAAAATGTTTGGATGAGCCTTGCCGACGTATTTCTTCAGGCGGGAATGCCATCCTTCTAGGTGGTTGCTTGTTCTTGGCCCATCTGAGTTGTGGTTGTTCCATTGCGTCATGTGCAGATCTCCCTCCACCCAGGAGTTGGTCATGTAGTCCCCGAGTTGTCGGCACCTTTGTTACACAGCCTATTGGGGTGGAGTTAACTATTTGTTTTAACATAACTTACCTCCTGTGCTGGCACCAAAGGCAAGACGGCACATCTCCGGACGAACCTCTTGATCTCGTCATCGTCCTGGTAGGCCTTCTGGAGATGGTGCTGCTGGGTTCTCCTCTATACACACTGTGTTCATCGTTCACCATGGTGACGATGTCATTCGTTGTTGATGCTGTGGATTTGCAGCCTTTTGCAGTACATATCCAAGATATCCAGTCTCGTATTCTCTTGCTGACTCTGTACATGAACCCGCCAACAGCCAAGTAACGACTGCCGCGAGCTGTAGGGATAAATCTCTGATCTAGCTGTGCATTTGCCATTTCGAAATCGAATGTGAATCCTTTGGCCATTCCATAGATATTTATACCAAAGATATGAACAGTGATCGATATTGGCACTCTGCTAAGTGTTATTGTAAACTTTTCAAGTGACATGAGTTCACCCTCAAGTGACCCGTGCATGTGCGACGAGTTCACCTTATCAAAACATCTAGA